ATCAATAGAGAGCAGGTTTTGGGGCTCATAGAGGACTCAGCAGAAAGGAGACCTCTCCCAGGACAGGGTGATGGAGGCAGCAGTAACCAGAAGAGAAACAGAGCAACGGCAAGAAAACTCTGAGCATTGATTAGGGGCCTGAAAGATGACGGATGAAAAGAAAAAGAAGACAGCTTGCTTTAAAAATAGCAGGACCAAACAAAGTCCATGAAATAGCCATGAAATAGGGGCAGAGGGAAGGCAGCAGGGACGAGGGCTCGGGTCCCTTCTACTTGCAGGGAAGAGCAGGGTCGCTGCTGCAGCGAGTAATTAGGAAACAGTTTCTCTTCCAGCCACTGATAGAGGGAAGCAGGATATTAATGCTTTCTTTTAATGTTTTTGTGTTTGTTTTTTTAACCACAAAATGACATCATCTGGTTGGTATTTAGGCTTTTACAAGAGCAGTTTCTGAGCCAATAACATTGATTTGAATTTTCTAGGCAGGTTTTAAAACCCCTGGGATGCTGCAGGGCAGCGGGAAGCAGCGGGGTTTGGGGCAGCAGCAGGGCAGAGGCAGGTTGGACGGGCAGGGCAGGAGCACGGGAAGTGGCTAATAAAAGGCATCATCAGTGCAAAGTTAACGTCTAATTAATAACGAACGGTAATCTAATTCATCTCTGTAATTAAGAAGCGCAACTACTAATTGAAAATAATTACATTTAAATCTAAAATAATTGAAAATAATCAGACGTTAACAAAAGAAAAGGCAGCCTCTGGGAAGGTGCAGGAGAAGATGTGGCTGATGCCCTGAGCCCAGGTCCTGTTGCACCAAGGCTGCTCAGCAGCTCCCGTGGGGTGTGCCCAGCCCCAGACCTCAGAAGATGCCCCTGCCTTGTGCCTTCACTGCCATGGGGCGAGCAGATAGGAAAGGCACAAGGTACACAGAGGTGGACCTCAAGCTTTGCACTACAAGATGGGCAACCAGACCAAAGCCCAGCAGCCAGAGCAGGGAAGAGGTAGTGCTGCCCCAACGTATGGTAAGAGATGCCACCATGGCACGGTTATAACCCCTTATTTCCCCACCACGCTGATAACCCTGTCCCTGGAGACCAACTCAGCTGATTTCCAAGAGATGGGGTGGGGTCCCCCACCCTGGGCTCTGCCAGGGTCCTGTCTGGGCAGTGCCACCCAGCACCCTGTGCAGCCCCCGCCGTGGATGGTGGCTCAGATGACGGCTGCAAACGCTCAGCTCTTTTTCCCATCCCAGACCAGCAGATCCAGTTCTGCCTATTCCTTAGGAGCCTCAGCCACCGGCGTTTTAGGCAGGCTGGTCTCCCTGCCTCAGAAGAGCAGATTCCCTAAAGCCCAGGCAGGCAGACCAGCAAAACCCAATGACCAGCTCTGTGGTCCCCACTGACAAGCTGCAATTTTTCTCCGTGGCCAAGCCAAGCACAAGGTGCACATGGATCAGAGTTCTGGCTGATGAAGAAAACCAGCCTATTCATACCCCACCAGGTGCAATAGCATGGAAGGCCTTACCCCCCAGGCACAATGGGCTCACAGGTACCAGTGTCTGAGCCTGCTCCCATTTTGCCCAGAGGACTGGAGTCCTTCCCGCGAGGCTCAGGCACGATGCCCGATTCCCGTCCCCAAGAAATGGGGAATCCACATCTCCATTCCTGGGCCACCCCACAGGGACAAGAAATGGGGAATCCACATCTCCATTCCTGAGGCACTCCAGGGATGCTCCTGCTGCACCCTGCCCTCCTGCCCTGCTTCTCCAGCCCATCAGATTGATAAGCGACTCTGTAAATGCCCTCAATGACACGAGGGAGAGAGGAAAGTGCCTTACCTGGAGCTGGAAAAGGCAAGCGGCCTCCTCGATGCCTGGCTGGCAGCTCCCAGGGATCTGGGTATTTGAGTGTTGCGGTCCCCTCCCCAGCCCCGCTTTCAGAGCAGAAAAACTGGCTCTGCCGCCCATCACGGGCAGTGTGTGACACCAGGAACATGATCAGTCCCAGTCATACCCGAAAGAGCTTCGCTGACATCGCCTCCAGCAAAGGCAGGAGCAGCAAGACCTCCTGACCCTTCACAAGCAAGCTGGGGCAGATCTGGAGGCTGAGACATCCATAGGGACCAGCCCTGGGATGAAGGCTGGCACTGGGGACTCAATCCAGGAATGTGCTACAGTCAGGACCCAGATTGAAGTAGAGAAAAGAGGATTTAGGGGTGTCCTTGAAACCACAGTGGGAGGAACCTCCACAAGGTCCTTGCTCCCCTCTTGGTGGGAGGCATCAGGCTGCTCCATGAGGTCCAGACATGGCCGGATCAGGCAGAGCTCAGCACCCCCAGCTCCCTCCGATGCTCATCCTTGCTGCTGGCTTTCACCCCAACATATCATTAAGCAAATACCCGTCAGCAGAGAGCAGTTACCAGCAGGTCTAAACACGTGCATAATGTGCTTCCCCCTCTAACGCAAGGCCTTCATTTCCAATAGCACCAACATGGGATAATAACAGTAACAATAATGTCAAGAAGGGCTTGTGTACCCGAAAGCTAATTTGTTTTCTCCACCTAATAAAAGGTATTACCTCTCCTGCAAGATTTGGCCCATTTAAAGCCTTCAGCTCGACAAGAAAGTTGCTCCCACGGTCATTTTATTTTAATTTACAGCATGTGTGGAGTCCCCCCCACACACACACTGAGCAAAACTAACCCTGGGAGTTATGCATGGAGCAAGCAGCCGTACAGAAGTCACTCGTCCCAAAAACCCGGCCACGTCTGCCCCAGGCCTCCTCCACCAGAGCCTGCACCAGACCCAACTGCAGAGCGAGAGTCCCCTCAGCAGGTTTCGATCAGAAATAATGGACAGGTTTTGAGGGCAAGGGTGGACAAACCCTGGAGCAGCTCAGCAAAAACAGCAGCAGGGTCACCGCTAATTTAATGCCAATTTTACCCTCGGTAGCGGTGGTGCTTTCTAGCAGAGATGCTTCAGGTCGCACACAAATTGTTTGAAGAACTGCTGGTGGCCAGCACTCAGTGTGGAGGTCCACAGTGGCCACAATCCTGCCTGATCTTGGAGTGACACAGCCGAGGAGCTCAGCGTATGGCACAGGAGGTCAGTGGAGACAGCACAGGGCCCTGGACCAGATCCAAGGAGGCTCTTTGGATGCCAGGACAAGCTGGCATCCACCACCACTCATCTGAGCAGCTCCTGTCATCACCTTAGGAGGATCCTCCCCCACAAATACCATGCTCAACCTCATTTTTCACTGCTGACCTCATTGCTTGCTCCCCACCAGCCCCAGCCGGGTTCTCAGGACTTGGATGCGAGGGACCTAAGCCTGCAGCATCTTCCAGTTGGAGCAACCCAGGGGACAGCCCTGCCATCAGTCCCTGGACACAGGGACACCAAGCAGCACCCTAAGGAACACTCAGGGACCACCAGGGAACTCTCAGGGACCACCCCGGCCACCAGGCCAGGCTGCAGCCACCAGCATCTCAGTGGACAGGGGTAGCTGCCACCACCCAGGACAGCAGAGCAGCAGGTCCCAGCCCACACCCTGGAGCAGGCACAAAGCTGCCCTTGAAGGAAGAAAAGGAACCCGTCAGCCAGCACCCGAAACACCAGCACAGGGCCACCTCCAAGCTGCTGTCACAGTGCAGAGCTGTGAGGGACTCACTAAACTCCCAGAAAACATTAATTAGCAGGGTACCAGGCACTTACGTCCTCAGTTTCTGTGCCAAGGAGGCTGTGGCTACAGGAGATCAATCTCTCTGCATAAATCGTAGGCAGCTGTTTATTTAGGATCCAATGTGCACACCTGGGAAGGAAATGCCAGAGCTCTCCCCCTCCTCCTCCTGCCACTTCTTCCCCTCCTGCCTCTGAGTCAGGCCATTTAATTTGTGCTGCAGGTGACCCAGGACAGCTGTCCCCTTGCCTGGGGCCACCAGTGCCATCACAGCTGCTGCTTCTTCCAAAAGAGGACAACTGCTCATCCCACTTCTGTCAGAGGTTTGGCTGCTGCTGGGAGGTGTGTGTTTTAATAATCAAAAAAAGAGTTCCTGGGAAGCTGGTTGGGCAAGGGCTGGGAGCAAGTCCCGAAACCCATCGGGAGGACCAAGCCTTTTTTATGTTTTAAACCTTTCCACAGCAGCTGCCAGGACTCAGCTTTTACAGCTGCAAGTAACAGAATCTCTCCCAAGGAAAGAAAATAATTGTGGCTGCTTTTTTTTTTTTTTCCCCTCCCCTCCAAGTCACTGCCAGCATCTTCACGACCTCTTATCTATTCTCAGCCACCTCTCACCTCCCCAAACACCACCAGAAGTGCTCAAATTACTGCCAGCTCTCGTTAGGTTCAGGCGCAAGGCAAGGCTGAGCAATAAGACCTCCAGACGGTCGGATGCTGAATTCTGATGAATCCTTTGGGTAAGATTTCAGCAACTGTGGAACTGTTTTTGTTGGCCATCTCCTGCAGCCCTCGCGCCGATACACAAGTGAAGCTGCTGCACCTTTGATTACTGGCTGCTATAACCAAATCCAGGTGGGCAAATGACTGAAAGAATTACCGCCTGCATATTCAAAACATAAAATCACCTCATCTCCTTTGATTGTTAAACTACCCTGCACTAAAGCACTGCAGGTCAGTAGAATTTATCTGCAAGAAGAGCAGATGCTGCTTCACAGAACCCTGTTATCTTTATTTCTTCTCTTCTGACATTTCTGTAAATGTTGGCTTTGAGGCAGGAGCGAAGCTGCCATTTCACACCAGTGCAGGAACTGGGAGCTCTCTCTCCCCAGCCTGGTTTCAGATGCCTCTTTCCCATGAAATGGTACCTTGCCCTGAGAACAGCCCCAGCTGTCCCAGCCCCAGAGCTGCCCCACAAACCAGTCAGGGCTGAGGAGGAAAAAACAAAACACAGTTCTTTCTTCTCATTTCATTCGTGCCCATTGCTATCTTGATAGCTTTTACCTGAAATGGCAGTCAAAATAAATCTTTTCTTTAATAATGCTATCAACATAAAGAAGAAAAAAAATATAGAGTTTATTGTAGTGCAGATTTTTTTACCCCAGACACGCTCCTTTCAAGTCGTTTTCTTTACGATGCAAAAAAAAGGCTCTCCCTTCAGAGATCTGATCAGTCTAACCAGGACTGAGGCAGAGCTTTTTCCATATATATATATAAAATCAGAGGAGCATTAGCCAAAAGGTATTCTAACAATAAAAACATTTCTCTATGGCACAAATAGAGCAGAAGATTGTTAAGCCTTCAGTACAGCAGAAATGTGCAAGACCTGTTAAAACCCAGAGGATTTTCCAAAGGGGATTTGAGCATCATTGTTACCAATGAGCGAGTACAGAGGCAGGTGTGACACCCGGTCACCTCTAGTTAGCTATTCTGGACTTCTTGAAGTCCCATTTCAGCTGTGCCTTTCTGCTCTTGTGATTCCAACAGAGGCTGCTCCCTCCCAATGGGCAGGCTCAAAAGATAAAAAAAATTACAGAAAAGAACAAAGCAGGGAACTTTCACAGCACAAAGAAACAGATACCATATGTGGAGCAGCTTCTGAGACAAATTAGGACTCCCGCTAACAGAACCAAATTGCTTCCTCTCCCCCTACTTTAATATAACTTCCAAGAAGAAGGAGCATTGCATTATAGTATTTTTACACAGAAACGGGAGAAAAGCAGCATCTGAGTTTGTGAACAGTCTGGGGCTGACATGTCAAGCTGCACTGAAAAAGGGGAGTCCTCCTGCTAAATTCTCTCATTAAATTGCCCAAACACGAATCAACCCCTTTTAGCCAGTTCTCATTTATTGCTATAAAGCAAAGTACCCACATTCTTAGGGCCAGATCAGCATTTTCCCAACTCGTGCTGAAGCAAGCACTCTGCAAGAGAATGAGAAACAGCCCCCCAGTGAGAGTCCTCATCCCACATCACCGAGTCATTAACAAACATCTTCAGGAAGCCGGGGCTTCTCCTCATCAGCAACAAGGGCTTGATAAGGAATCCTCTCTGCTCTGTTCTTTCCAGTCTAAGAACTGCGAGGTTCATAATCATAAATATTTGCCTTTTCTTGTACCTCCTATGCAATATTCATTTCAAGACCAACACAGAGCTATCAGGAACCTAATTATGTCTCTCTGACTTAAAAATCACACCATGATTTTAAGCTAACTCTTTAACCAGCCAGCTGCTCCTCTTTTCTCCTGCACTGTCTTCACAGTCCAGAGAGCTTCTCCAAAGAGCTTGTTAACACATACAGCAAAGGGATTTCAGTGAAAAGATACAGACAGTCCATGAAAACAGAGAAGCAATCTGCACTTTAGGTCTGTCACGTTGTCCACCAGCCTGGACTATGCTAATCGCATCTCACAACGTGCTGTAAGGGCTGTCATTGCCAGGCTGCATTTAATCACTGTTCCTGCAGCAGCAGCCATCAGAGTTAATCTTTTTCCCTTTAATAAGAGCCATTACATCATTCTCCAGCATGGAAACTACGAAGTGGGAAGGTCAAAAAGTTCTTAATTAGAGAGGTTTTTATTGCTGTGATAGTTCCGTTCTAGCCTCAATAAGAGAGATCTGCAGAACAGGCAGCAAGAGCTGGAAGGCATCTTGGATATATGAAGCGCTGTTTGAAGCCTGTGAAAACAAAAATCAAAATATACACATGAATAATTACGCTACCAATCAGCTTTACTAACCACACACTCATTTCAAACAGCATTGATTAATGCACATAAGAAACAGAAAGCCTAGTGCTTGTTGGATTTTTAAGGCTTCATTCTAGAAATCAATTTAAGTTTTTGAGGGGCTTTATGCCACTAGGCAAAAAAGCAACTGGCTTAAAAAACCCCAAACAAGATTAGGTACAGTCCAACATAGGATTCTGTTTTCGATAATAGATGAGAGGAATTTATTTCAAAGTGAAGCATACACACGCTGTGACAGGAAGAAAGAACACACATCAACAGGAAACACCCGTTTCCTACCACACCTCAGAAATTTACAAGCACTGAGAACCCACTTAACAACTGGGAAGCACTGGGACCCTCTCATGCTGATTTATGAGCTTGTCTAAGGTTTGACTTTGGACATTTGAATTCTACAAATCCAGGCTGCTGAATTTAATGTGTCTTCTGACCCATCACAGCTGTCAGCTGAGCCCACATAAGGCTCACTCTTCACTAACTCACTCATCTCTTGTGAAGTCTACGGGCATTTATTAAAACTTTTAAGTTATTAGATAAGTAAGCAGAATCTTAGACCATAGGTTAGAGAACTTGGCACGCGTAAGGACACTGAAGTGGAAAAAACCCAGCATATCTAATTTTTAAGTATTAGCTTAAAGTTTTAACTTTAGCTTAACTGACCTCCAAAAACACTCCAGTGATTAAGGGATTAAGCACATCTGCTTTCTCTTTGACCTGCAGAGATCAGACATATATTATTCTGATTGAAAATTTGATCACATTTCTTCAAGCAAGATAAAGCTAAATCCTCAGTAGGTTTCGAATCACCACTGCTCTCTCAGCTATAGGAAAGTGAAGTCACACCACCTGCCCCAGAGCATGCAAATAAGAACAGAGTAACCCCCACACACCCAAGTTGTACACAAATACACACATTGTATCTTCAAATGAACTGTGGAGATGAATTCTGATGTGGAAATGAATTCTGGAGAATTTAGAGAAAATGATGTTATCTTCAATAACACCTGAGTGTTTTGGAAAAATCCACACCAGGATCACCAATGTGACTTTCTCCTGTCTCCCTAGTACTGTCAGCACCAATTCCCACCCCGCTCTGTGCCAGGCTGAATGCAGCAGGAGGCACTCAAAGCTCAGTGCACATTCAGCTGCCACGATTTGGGGAACACTGGCCTAAAACATCAGTTCACAGGGCAAAAAAACTGCACATACAAACGTGCAAACACAAAAAGCACTTCGTGGTGAAGATCCCAAGGCTCTAATCAACTAACCACATTTTATTCCTAAGAATTATGGTGTAACTCTTACCCCCGCAGTCGTTAAGCACGTAGTAAACTCTTTAGAGAAGGTTGATAGTTCTTTACACAGCACAATTGTCATTCTGCGGAAGAAGAGTAGGACAAAAAAACTGCACATGCAAACGTGCAAACACAAAAAGCACTTCGTGGTGAAGATCCCAAGGCTCTAATCAACCAACCAACATTTTATTCCTAAGAATTATGGTGTAACTCTTACCCCCGCAGTCGTTAAGCACGTAGTAAACTCTTTAGAGAAGGTTGATAGTTCTTTACACAGCACAATTGTCATTCTGCGGAAGTAGAGTAGGAAAACCATGTAGTAATTACAGTTTACAAAATAACTTTCATTTAGCATTCCTCTAACACATAAATACCCTGTTTCCTTGCATATAAAGCTAAATTAAACCGAAATTGATACAGAGCATACAGTATCTGAAGATCCAGCAGTTCCCCAGATAAATTAGGGAGGGGAAAGATGGAAAAATAAATAATTAAAGCTGAAGAGCTGAAACAGCATTCAGAGAACAGACACATCCATTCAAGAAGGAACAGTACTAACTTGCTTTTTTTACTGACAAGTGTCATTTTCTGACTTAGAAGGTACTGAGTATTTTATATACTTGCCAAGTATCTCCTGACAGAAAAGAAAAATCTCGTGTTATGCATTACTGGTAAAACCAGTCCACTAATTAGTTACAGAAATTTTACAATATCATGTACCTAACATACTAAATGATTAACGAAGAGATAATTAAGCATCAGTTTTATACAAATGCTTTGTCATATTTTATATGGCTATCTACTAACTAGCACAAGCTTAGAGCAAACATTCTTCTTGACTATATAAAAGCTTTCAAGTAGGGTTTCCTCTTTCATATCAAGAAATGTCTTTAAGCCAGAAATAGAAAGAGACAACGGAATTCTGCTGGAATGTAGTGATGCCACCCAGTGCAACTCTGAGCATGTATGCAGATTTCAAGAGCCCTTCATCCCATGGATTTATTAGACAGTTAAATCAGTATGTAAGTAATTACATGCTACACATTTACTAAGAGATGAACTTACTGTGAAAGGGACTTGGCTCTATCCGTGGCTGTCACCTCTTGTTTCTCACCGTGTAGAAACAAAGCTGCAGTTTTGTGAAACATTTCAATGGAACACGCCGTCAGTTCAGCCAGACTTTTTATGGCAAACGCATGAATATCCTGCAAGAGTTAAAAAGATTCCCCATACCATTCAAAAACTAGCAGCTTTTATTTTCTAAACAAGTGAATCACCCAACATACTGTCACTCCGCCACCCTTTCAGACCTCAGAATCTGCACAGAAATAGAAGCCCATAAACCCTGGGAATCACAGCTGTAACTTCACAGCCAGAGAAACACTCTGCGGCCAGATATTCACTTCCTTCATCACTGAGTTACCTCTACTGATTTTTTAGCATCACGGTCACCATCTCCAGATTCTACTTCTTGGTTTTCTTCACTCTCTTTTTCTTCTTTAGGAAGACTGCTGTTGAATCGTGCTATCCATTCGTGAGCAGATGTCCTCACCTGCATGAAGATGTGCCATAGTACTTAATGACTGGAATGAAGCCCCCCTTGCACACCACAAAACACGGAGCATAGGACCTCTCTAGAGGAAAGAAACCGCCACAACTCCTGAGCTAGTGAGAAGAATTAGGACAAATGATCCCAGGGCCTTCAGGACTTTGTAGAGGGTTGGATGCAGTAACGTAGTTGAGGGCAGTCATTTCTCTAGCACCGGGTGCTGGAGTTTACCAGGAAGACCACGACTAAGGGGTGCTTTAAAAACATGTCTGCAGAATGCTGCTGCCACTTGGTGGAACTGAAGGGTAGTGAAATGAAGGCAAGAAAGGCAGTTCTACCTCATACCAACTTCTAAACACAGTAAAACCAGCTGCTTCGTACCAAGAAAAAGGCTTCAGTTCACTGTAGGTTGATTTCATTGTGGTGGCTGAAGGCTTATCTCTGGTTATCTCTGCCACCACTGATTACTGCCCAGGGAGAGGGCAAAGACACCCTGGTGTCTACTGATTCAGAGCCAAAGACATGACAGAACACGATTTTGCCCCATAACGTCAAAGGAAAAGGCACATTTCTTTTGCCTACAACTGCCAAAGGATCTAAAACACAGCTTGCTTTCATGCCTTTGGTATTTTCACAAGCAAAGCAGGACTGAGAAGCAGGTCCTGTGAGGAATCCCTCCAGCTTTTAGAAGGTGGGAAATAACTCACCGTGATCAGTTTGTCCGGCTTTGAGCAGATACGCAATTCTGAAAACAACTCTGTTACTTCTTTTGTGAATTCCTCATCTCCTAAAAGACAGGAAAAGTTGAAGAATCCACACAAAGGACAGATACAGGAATAAGCAACATCTCAATACACAACCGGTTCTTCACAAATCTCTCAGCTGTTTCGTTCATCTCTCATTGAATCATCACCTCAGGCAAGAATACATCAAACCTGGACTTTTAAAATACAACTTATAATGTAAGTTCTGAAAAGGTGGATATATCAGGGCCAAAAGTTTAGCTTTTGCTTTTTCAGTTCTGGTTTTGTAGCTAAGGTAATTCCATTTTTTTTTAATTACTAATTTTCAGGCACCACTTTTCAATGCACTAACTTGCACATCACCTTGGAGAATCTGAAGAATCACTTAAAGCCTGTGGTTCTCCTATTTTATATGCCAGGGCAGATGTTAACAGTGGGGGGAAGGCTGTGAGATCCATCATGTACAAATATAAAAGGTACATTAAATGTTAAATGATAGCAAATGCAGGTGTGTAAGCCCTCCCCAATGAGTCATTTAGGTAAAAGCAATGCAAGAAATTTACATTTAAATCTGCGTAATCCTCAAGAATCAGATGGCTCTTGTGTACGGAGGGTTTTGGTCTGTGTGGCTAACTCTCATTTAAAAAAATAAAGCTTTTTGCTCTCCCACAGGTTGGACAACTCTATTCACAGTCTTTCCCTCACGGCCAGCAGAACCCAGCATCTCTTTGAATTTGCATCTTGGCTCAAGGTCAGTTGTATGAACTGCCCACAAGTCAAGCAACTCTAATCCTGCTCTGGCAAGAAATTGTTCCTGCTACAGAATTAATGCACAGCAGCTTTCCAGAGATGAAGGGTATTGCTACCTGTCATGCTCCTGCCCACAGTCAACTTTAGGATTAAGCACCCAGCTAAAGAATAACTTCACTTTGGCATCATGCCCATTGCTAGTGATCTCAGGGCTGGTTGGCTCTACACCGAGAATTTCATTAAGAACCAGCTTCTCCCAGAACCTCTTACCCTTCTTTTCTTCCTCCTCTTCTTCAAAGAATTCAGGTAAAGAAAATGCCTCTTTGAGTTGCTCCATTTCATCCTTCAGCGTGTCTAACTCTTCTCCAGAGAGGGCATTTAGAACTGATTTCACCTAGTTAGGGGAAGCACGGCCAAAAAGAGAATCATAAATCTAACAAGAAAAAGAAACAGGATGGAAGACGCAGCACTGTTTTGCACTGCATGTGAAAACATCACAGACTGATATTAATGAGAAAGTGCTTTTTTTTCCTGTGGGAAGGAGGAAAGTGAAAAAGACCTATTTCTGAAGTCTTCTTAAAAATTCACTATTATTTAATGAGTTATTCAACTAATTTATTTCATTAAAAAAATGAATGAATTCCAAAATTGCATGCTGATCTGCCCTTCTCCTTGCCCCAAGACAGAGAGGACAATCTCTGCTGTGCTTACAATACTTTCCACTTCTCCAGACCAAGGCAGTAAACAAGTGGGTACGACAAGAGAGTAATTTGTGAAAAATTGTTGAATAGCTGGGTAAAGAGAACGGCTTTAGGAGCTGAGGACAGGCCATAATGCTCCCAAGGTAAACACGAGATCGTAATGCAGGGGTCAAAGTGAAGTTGTGTAATCAATCATTTGATAGCAAGTTCTGAGCACTTGATTTCACATGTATATACATATATTTCTCATCTTTTTTGCCCTGCTCAGCTGAACTCAAAATAGAAGACAAATCGCTCAAGGCCATTACCTTTGATTCACTCTCTCTGGAAAGCATCTCTAAGGCCTCCAGATGCGAAAGACCCTGAAACTCATCAAACAGTAACCCATAATGGGCTTTCTTCTCCGTAGCCATGGTAACCTCAGTAGCTGTCTGCTGCTCTTCTTTCTCCTTTGCCTCTCGTAAGACCTGAAAAAGAAAAGCGGAGAACTCGGATCAGTGCCAGAAGATACAAAACACAGGAGGAGAAGGCTTTTGGTTCAATAGTAAATGGCTGCTTAAAGACAGGACAACAAAAGAAGGGAGAAGAAAGGAGAGAAGAGCTGATATGGAACGGCCATACCTGTGATAATGTCGAGTTTCTGTTCATTAGGCCCTTTGTTTTTTTGAATCCAGGGTCTCCCTCAGCTATTACATCCATTGTCTTTTTCCCAATGAATTCCAAGGCATCCAGACCTCCACTAATAACAGTTTTGCCCTAGGAATCAGATTTGGATAAACAGCGCATGAAAGTCACAGAATATTACACGATTGAGGACAGTGAATTGGGGGATTTATATGGCACTCACATACAAGCCAAATTGAGGCTTGTCACCCTAAAATTCAACCCTAATCACCACAAACGTAGCAGAAGGACATGGAAAGTGCCACAACACACTACCAACCAACAGTCTAATACAGTGCTCAGAGAGCTGCAGCAATCTGATGGGAAATAAATTTTTGTTTTGTAAACAAGCTGGTTCTCAGCACATTAAAGTATTTAGTTCTCATCCTTACAATCAGACAACACTGCACCTGTGGGTTACTAACTCTTGTTCAAGCCTTAAAAGCAGAAGCAAGGTTCCCATCTGCAATTCTTTCAGATTCACAGGCAAATTGACAAGACAGCAGATCACAAAAGCACAGTTTCTAAGGGTAATGGGTTCCTTTGAAGCGCATTTCTCATGGTCACAGGAGCAAGCTCATTTCCAAGCAATTTGGGCTAGTTTCACAGAAGTTTTTGAAGAGGAGAATGGATTTCTTCTCTAGACATTTCTGGTTCCTTTGAAGCGCATTTCTCATGGTCACAGGAGCAAGCTCATTTCCAAGCAATTTGGGCTAGTTTCACAGAAGTTTTTGAAGAGGAGAATGGATTTCTTCTCTAGACATTCTGTGGAAATCAGTGGAAATATTCCAGGAATGACTCCGACCCTGCATTTACCTGAATACTCTAAAGCAGAGATAATGCTCAGTACAGAGCTGACATGCATAGGAATGCACACACCACACAGTCCACCATTAGGTTTTTTTTTGTTATGTATCAACATTTAATACAGAACTATCAAAATTCAAGACAATTTACATGTTAAGTTCCAGTCAGAAGCAAGGCACAGGATAAAGACTGTCTGAAGGTTAAAACTGCTTCTTACCATTCATCCCACAGAAGTCAAAATTAAAAGTTTCCTCTTACAATGTTTCAGATGAAAGGTAAAAACCCCAACGCTCCCTTAAACCCATTGTCTCCTGCATTCCCAGCTCACTCACTGTGCTTTGGACAGCAGTAGAGATGGTTGATAAGACCCCCAGAGCACCAGCGATAGGAAACGAACTGCCATCATCAACTCCATCTGCGCTGCTAGCACCAGCATTCTCACTTCCTGCATTAGAAGGCAGAAAATTAACATCTCACTCCCAAAAAAAAGGATCCCATCAGCTGCAGAGTCGAGACAATTAACAAACACCAAGTATCAGATAAGAGCAGGGCTAGAATTGGGATTATTTTCCTACCTACTTTTCAGAGATAAAAAAAGTAAGCAATAGAGTATTATTTTAGCATACAGCTATCTAACTCAAGATGCATCTTGCAAGGTAAGGTGATGTGATTTTGGGGCTGATTATCTTATGAGAAACATTTCCATGCTGCTGTTATGCAGTAAAAACTGACCTCTTCTAGCATCTCCAGTCTCTGAAGAGATTTCACTAGGACTGGGGATCCCAAGGGTTGTTTCTGCTTTTTCGATGACATTTGAAATACCTTGACCTAGAGAAGACAGCAGTATCACTTTAACTGTGAGATACAACAGAAATCAGAACAGAAACAGGAGTAGGGCTGCATATTGTTTTCTATCATTCTGCATTCCTCCTCTTCGAGACAGTTCACTCAGCACTAAAACCTACTATTCAGCTTGTAATGAACCCGAGTTTCCTCTCAGATTTTAAATAAAGTTCTAAATACCAGTTGAATACCCATTTAAAGTACCAGCTGAAAATTATGCAAAGACTTTAAAAAGTTGAAAGTAATTTCGGCTGTGCATATTTCCTTAATCTCACTGGACCTCTTGGTACAAGTTTTCCCCATTACTTGAACGATTCTCTTGACATTTTTCCAATAATTGCTTCTATAACAGAAATCCCCTTCTCTAGTAACAAGCTCAAAAGCACCAGCCTGAGACATGAAGTATGGTTAATATATTATCAAATACCAGAAACAGCCTTACCTACAGTGGCTACAGTAGCAGACGCAGTTGACAGAAGAGATTTCCCCCAGCTGCCCCAGTACCCCCATCCTGTCTGAACAGTAGGAGGATCAGAGACCTTTAATAAAGAAAAGCAGAGGAGAGTGATGCAGGTACTACGGTGACAGAAACACAAGCAGTCTGTGACATATAACTTTTTGTTTTCAGATAAGCAATAATGTGAATTTTCAATAAATCAGTGAGGTTTATGGCCAAAATTCTGCTGTGCAGAAAGCCATGAAATGTGAAGTCACATTATTCAGAGCAAGCCCAGGAACGTACCTTGAGTGTTTCAGCTGCAGGCTTTTCTGTGGCAGCAGGCTGGCTTGGGGATTTGGGTTCAGGTCTTTTCCGAGTCATAGGCACAGGTTCAAGCTCTTGCTCTCTCTCTTCATTGCGCTCAGCGCAGCCCAGATCCTCTGCTTTCTGTTTGTTTTCATCTTCGTGGGAGGTTTCTTCTTTCAGACTTTCACCACTGTCTTTCTCAGACATGACTACAAACACCCGTAGAAAGCAAAGCTGATAAAACAATCACTCCCTTGTACACTTCAACATTAGTTCAAAAGCATCACATTTGTGCTTTAAATAATTAAATACAACTAAGTCAGAAATCCCTTTATGTTGGCACCCATACCCACATAAACAGATTATGCTTTTAAGGGAGTATGTACACTGGGTTACGTCTGACTGGAAGAAATGTCACACTTGGAAGTTTAAAGTCCCACAGAAACATCCCACAGAAACAGGTGGCTTTATCTAACTGACACACCCTCTCCTCAGGTAAAAAAACAGGTTGCTAACTCTGAGAAGCAAATAAAAGGTACAAAAGGTCCTCAGACAATTAAATCCATAACTTGCTTCACCAAAAAAAAAAAAAAAAAAAGTAACAAAACCAAATTGCTTGGGACGGCTGCTTTGAAGGGTGACAGAGAGAAATGGGGATAGCTGTCAGACTGCCAGGCAGGTAGGGAGGCAGTGACTGCTTCACTTCTCTATTTAGGGCTGAGCTTTGCCAGGGTGTTAACGCCACCCAGCATTTGAAACAGGTTCCAGCTGGCCCTGGCCACAAATGCCGGCCCTGACACTGCCCATGCCCCGCTGCGGCCTGCTCACGGGGCAGGGGTCTCTCCCTCCTGCCGACCGGGGCATTAACGTGAAGGCAGCAGCGGGCAGGGACGGGCAGGGCCACGTCAAGCACCTGCCGGGATCAAGCAGCGTCCCCAGAGAGCCCCTGATGGAATCGGGGCAGTTACCCCCAGGAATGGGATTTTCTTGGCGTTAAGCGGAGGAGGAGGACAGCAGCCCTAAAGGAAGGGGTGACAGGCAGGGGACCCCCCGCTCTGTTTCCCCAGGACCACCCGGCCACACTCAGCTCCCACCAGGGACACCCAGGGCACCCCACCGGGCCCATCCCCACCCGGGCTCCCCCTGCGCCCCCCAACCCCCGGGGGGGCCTCCATTTCCTCGGGAGACCCCCAGGGCCCCATAACCCCCATATGGGGTTGTCTGCCCCACAGGGGACCCCCAAGTCCCCTAAAGCCCACCCCCCCCACGGGACTCCTTGCC